ATGCAAAAACACTGTGTGGAAATGGATTGGAATTAGAGATATCAGTGTGAGCTCATGATGTATAAAGTGTGTATTGCATATGTGTATAGCCACATGTGTATGTGTGTCTATGTATATATATTATATGCATACATTTCCTAAGTCTGCCTACCTTGAGGACCTAAAAGCAAAGATACCCCAGTAACAATGAACTTCCATCACTCCCAGATATTGGTTTCTAATACCAGTCTCCACTAATAGGAACCAAGGATCCCCAGAGAAATAATTGATTTCATGACTGGGGTATAGAACTCAGAAGATGAGCCAGAAACACATTTTTTGCCAGAAATGATGGGGGAATGACACAAGAATATGGGAGTTTGAAGCGACTTTGAACAAATCTGAGGAAATTGGAGTTAAAATAATTAAGTAAAATAGTGAATTATAAACTGTGGAAAAATAGGAATCCATCAGTTCATACTAATAATAAATAGATAAATAAACTGTTAAATAAGCAACGGAGAAGGCAAGGCTCTTGCTTAGAAAAATATCAAAGACCAAAAGATAAATGCCAGAGTTGAAAACCATTTTGCAACCATCACAGCCAAAAGAGTAATGATTGGATTATCATTGGTTGATACTAAATTTAGAAGGGAAGCTTTGATGAGGAGCAGGATATCCACAGGGACATAAAGTATCTCCCCATAGATTGCTTATTGGTAGCAAGGCAGAAAATATTAACTACATAGTGAAGAAATCAGATATCTGTGTGGGCACCACAATTAATATCATCAATGAAGGACAAATGGATACAATTTGCCTCTAGATGTGATATTCTGAGATGACATCACTTGTATAATATGCTGGCAGGGAATGTATAACCAGCCATTGAATCATAAAGAAATTTCTATTAAGGGGAGGCAGGGAGCTGTATTATCTAAAAATGCCTCTGTTGTAAAAGATAATGAAAAGGTGAGGAACTATCTTAAAGAAGACTAAAGAGATAAAGCAACTAAATGCAATATGTGATCCTTAACAAGATCCTTTTCAAGACGAAGAAAAATCCTATGAAGAATATTATTGGATTAATTGACAAATTGGAAGGCAGATGGTGGACGAGGTTATAGAATCCTATGAGACTGGTATTTTCAGCCTCTTTTCCATCCAGTCAGCTCTGTATTAAGCACTCAGTAAGTGCCAGGAATGAGAAGTCCTAAAAGTACAAAGATGAATAAGGCATGGGGCATGACATTGAGGAATTTACAGGCTAGTCAAAGACACAGAGAAGTAAGTTTAAAAATAAAAGTACAAGAGGGGCACCCGACAGCATAGTCAGTTAAGCATCCAACTCTTGGTTTTTGCTCAGGTCATGAGATCGAGCCTGCCTAGGACTCCGCACTCAGTGCAGGGCCTGCTAGGGAGCCCTCTCTCCCTCACCCTCTGCACACCCGCCACAACTCCCTCTCTAAAAAAAATAATAATAAAGTACAGGAAATCACTGTGCCCAAGGTCAGTATGAAAAAAATCGCAAAGGACCTCAGAGAAGGAAGCACTGCACATGGCTAAGTATCAGAGAAATCAGCATGGAGGAAGTGACATTCCAGCCAAGCGTGAAAGGGCAGGAGCATCCAGGTTGGGATGGCACTGGGGGAAGGACCTTGAGGTAGAGAGAATGGTGTGGAGGATCCCAGTTTCGGGAAATGGAAACTGACCAGGTGACCCAGCGAAGGCCTGCAAACCCAACATGAACAAGCTAGGCCTCCAGACGCCTTCCAATCGCAACTCAGCTGACTAAAGCCACATGCTGGGCAGATAGGCCAGTGGAGTATGCAAGCTGCCAGGATAGGATGCCCCGGGAAGGGTCTGTGATACTGTCTAGACTGAAGCTGTATTTTCAGAGACCTGATAGCTGCTGAATTAAGATAAAGACTAGGGACCCTACTGTAAATACTAACCTCCAAAATATTTTGACAGGGGACAGCATGGCCTCAGATAAACATGTTTGCATTCCGATTCTGCCATTACCAGCCCTGGGCCTTTGGCAATTCATCTCATTTTGCCAAGCCTCCATGTCCTCCTTTGCAAAATAGATACACTTCACAAGATTGGTATGATAAGTAAATAAAATAATGTAGAGGAAATGTGAGCAGTCTGCTTCCTAGCAGGCACTCCACAAAAGGCCATTGTTTGGTTTTGTTTTTTAAGATTTTATTTATTTATTCATGAGAGACAGAGAGAGAGAGAGAGGCAGAGACACAGGCAGAGGGAGAAGCAGGCTCCATGCAACGAGCCTGACGTGGGACTCGAATCCCGGGTCTCCAGGATCAAGACCTAGGCTGAAGGTGGGGCTAAACCACTGAGCCACCCAGACTACCCCAAAAGGCCATTGTTATTTCTACTTTTGCTTACAGCAAGATTTGTGGCTAAGAAACACTGGACTTAAATCCAGAGAGCTCAGTCTAACCTCCATTCTGCCACCTAAACACTCTGGGTGGCGGGGGCGGGGTGGGGGGCGGTGTATACTCAAACATGGTTTGGCACCAACTTTGTTTTGGGTACTGGGCTGGTTCTTTATATACTTAGTTTTTCTTTAAGATGAGGACAGAGGGATCCCTGGGTGGCGCAGCGGTTTGGCGCCTGCCTTTGGCCCAGGGCGCGATCCTGGAGACCCGGGATCGAATCCCACATCGGGCTCCCGGTGCATGGAGCCTGCTTCTCCCTCTGCCTATGTCTCTGCCTCTCTCTCTTTCTCTCTCTGTGACTATCATAAATAAATAAAAATTAAAAAAAAAAGATGAGGACAGAACCCTGAAATAGGTGGTATTACCCCCATTATAAGAAACTTAAGTAATATTAATTTGTTAAGGTCACAGAACTGACAGGAGATTGGATTGAGATTTCAACCCAGAATGTGTGAACCTAGTTCCTTGCTCCAAAACCATCAACCTGGGGTAACCAGGCTGCCTAGAGAAGCATGGAAAGACAGAGGGGGAGGAAGTAAAAGGAACTGAAGATTAGTGACCCATTCATTAGTGTTCTATTTTTAATTCCCCAAGCTGTTTTCCCTCCTTACTAGAGGTCATAGTTGGAACCACACAGCAATAGTTGATACCCAGCCCTCCTTTTGTTTTGTTAGTGATCCAAGTCCTAAAAATTAGCAGTCATCTAAAACCTGGGGGAGAGGACAGCTTTAGGGCTCTTTATAAGGAACCAATGTCGCCTGTTTAACTCTAAGGCGTAGCAACATTGCTTGACTGCAATTTATGGCTGGAGACCTTCTCCCCATTTGAACCAACCCAGTTCAACCTAGCAATCCATCTCTCCATCCCTGAAGTCACCTGTGGAGATAGGCCCTGACCCTCACAAGTCCTAAGAAAGGACACCCAGATTGAGCAGGTGTTGGGTAGCCAAACCTGTTTCAGACATTTCCAGTTATGTGAACTTGGGCAAATTTAACCTCTCAACCACCCTCTCTTCATCTGTAAAAACGGGAGGATAGCAACATGTATGTGGAGTAAATGATATAATGGGTGTGAATGGCTTGACACGGTGCTGGTACACTTGGCAAGTTACCAAACACAACCCTGTAGTGGCAGTTTCTGGGGATTTACATCTGGGGCATAATTATATGGCTATCTGCTCCCCAGAGAGGAGATCCCCAACAAGAGAGGAGAGTGGAGGAGGAAAGCTGAGAGCCCTTAGAATAATCAACTTGCCTTCCTGCCCCCTTCTCCCTGCATCTGTTCTCAGCAATCCTCCCAATTTGGGTGGTAATAAATAAGGTTGTCTCATTCCTTTAGTGACACACCTCATGTACTGTCCGATATTCTGGAACCAAGGCCAGGGGAAAACTTATTTTTCTCTGACTGTATCTGATCCCAATTCTTTTCCTCTCTCTCCCTTTCCTTTCTCAGAGTATGTAGTAGCACTGGAAAACCAGTCAGGCAACTGGAAAACATATTTGGGAGGAAAATGTGGGGAGACAAAGAACTTGTGTTCTTCTGAAAGGTAGGAAGGGACCATGCCTTTTCCACTTCAGTAGGGAGTAGTCATGGGCTTATAAATATCAGTACTTTAACAATTATTTATCAGAACTTGACTTGCTTCTTTGCCCCTGTGGTGTCTTCTCAAAAATAAAAAGCATAGGAATGATTGATTAGTCCTAGGAAAACAGCTATGACTATGGATCTTTCTGTGCTGTCCAAAACCACCTAGAAATAACAATAAAAATATATGCTACATTTGAGGGGATCGGGTTAATTAAGACAATTAAATGATGATTATGATTTTAGTTTAGTTTGAAATACTCAGAAATTTTTCCAGGATACTGTGAACCATGATTTGAAGCATAATAAAGCATTCAATACACTGATTACTTCTAAAGTTTCAAGCAGCAATTACTGAAGTTTCAAGCCCATTCACCAAACCTAGGAGAAAGCTTTTTCTAGTGTAGCTGCTTATTTACAGCCTTGTAGCACAAACACACACACACGTAATTCCAGGCTGAAAAATTTGTTTTGTAATTGAGGTAAAGCATTGAGACATTCCTCTCTAGATTCAAGCTCATGGATTACTTTTTAAGATTTTATTTACTTGGGACACCTGGGTGGCTCAGGGCGTGATCCCAGGGTCCTAGGATGGAGTCCCACATTGGGCTCCCTGCAAGAAGCCTGCTTCTCCCTCTCCTGTGTCTCTGTGTTTCTCATGAATAAATAAATAAAAGCTTTAAAAAAAATTTACTTAAGAGAGACAGGAGAGAGCATGAGCAAGGGGAAGGGGGCAGAGCAGAGGAACAAGCAAACTCCCCACTGAGCACAGAGCCGGATGCAGAGCTCCAACCTCAAGACCCTGAGATCACAACTTGAGCTAAAGTCAGATGTTTAACCCACTGAGCCACCCAGGTGCCCCTCAAACTCATGGATTAATATATTATCTCCATCCTTTTTATTCACCATTTATATTCACATTCTGTGTGTATGCATGTGTATGTATGTGTGCATCTCACTAAGAAAGCACAGAGGTCAGGTTGTTCAGATTTAATGATTCCATGATCTGTTATCATTTGAACACATCACATCTGCTTCATTAAGTCTGCTGTTTGTAGACAGTCCAAGGTACCCACCCAGCCTCCCAATTAGAACATGTAAGCAAAGTCTTCTGCTATCCCAAACCTACACAAATCAGGTTTCTATGGTGAAATAACAGAAAGATACATGTTAGTCCAGTCAGTGGTAAAGCACTGGTCTTTAGGGTCCAAAGATCTCTATGCCAGCAAGAGCAGATGAGGGAAAGGAGAGAATAGAGGAACTGATACTGTCTCAACCCAACTTTCTTGAGTCCCTTCTTTCCAGATTGCCTGAGGTCCCCTTTCTTTATGCACAGATCAAAGCTACTTTCACAAGACCAAACATTAAAAAAAAAAAAAAAAAAAAAGAAAAGAAAAACAGAAAGGAGGAAAATTTGTAGTAACACATGTGGGGAAGATGAGGACTGTGTACTGAAACTCTATTACCCCCTAAAGGAGTTGGAAAAACACCCTGGTGACAGCAACCCATGAATACCCTGGCTTGCAGGGACTGGAGATTTAGCCAGAATGCTATTCACAGGTCAGCGAGCGCCGCAGCTCCTCCTAAACTTCCACCACTCTCTTGGGAGGGTCACAGCAATCTTCTGCAATCAGCAAATCTTCCTCCTCTTCCTTGTCCCTACAAAGCCGCAGAAACAGCTGAGGGTCGGGGGCGATGGTGAGGAGGCTGTAAATCTCTGAGGTAATTCTCTGTATCCAGACAGGATCAGTTTCCCAATCGGACCCCTCTCTATAAGAAGCCAGGATTTTTTTCTTAATGGAAATTCAACACAGAGGAAAGCTAGCAAAATCATTCACTCACAGTCTCAGGCCAACCTGAGGCAGATAGGTGAAGGCAGGGTCAAATGCAAGAGGCCTCCGATAACCCTATCCAGGGCGAAAAGCAGGTTACTCAGGAAATGCCTAAGACAGACATGGTGCTCAGGGCCTTCTACAGGATGGACACAGTGGTGTGTTTTGTCCAGACCGACCAGGCCATAACCTAGCCCCAACTAGACCAAGCTTCCCAGTTCCAGAATGGAAGAATCTGTGGACAACAGCAGACAATCTGTCACTATTTCAAACTTCTTGGTCCCTCTCTCCAGCCTGGATTTATGTCCCCAGAAAATTGGGGCAGCAGTGGACCAGACTCAGACTATGATGAGATGGAGAGTAAACAGCTGGTCCTTGTGGGGGTTTAGAAATAACTGAACTCCCTTTGGAGTCACGTTTACTCCTGGTTCTGGGCTAGGAGCATAATACTAAATCAGAAAGTCTTATTTTAAAAGATTCCCACCACTTCCCCAACTTTGGCACCTCCTAGTCTTCATCTCGCCACCCTCTCCCCCTCACAAGCACACTACCCGAGGAAATCTTGGGGACATTTCCAGTATCTCTAGGGCCCAAGGACAATGTGGCCTTAATGGCGTTTGGCAGAAAATCCCACCCCACATTAAAGACTCTCCCAGTTCGACACAGTGAAGAAAAAAATTGATAATGTAATAGAAGAGGCAGTAGAAACAGAGTCTGTCCCTTCCCACAGTAGGCACAGTAATGTCGGGAGTTAGTGAAAAGGGTATCATCTCTTGCCAGAAGGCCACCAGCTACCACCGGTTGGAAGCCGCATGATCACTTGTTTCTCCTCCGGACTGAAATGCAAGATGGTCAGGATGGCTGTGAGCGTCTGCCGGCGGCCCAGGGTGTCGGGCAGGGTCAGGAAGCGGTAGATGATGTTTTTGAGGTACTCCAGGTTGGCTCCCTCCCTGCTCTGGTCCCTGATATTCTTCTCAATGTGGCTCTGTAGGGCTCCGACCCGCTCACGGTGCCGCTCCCCCTCCTCCAGCAGCCGATCCTGCAGCTGATGCACCTCCACCTCCAGCCTGTGTTTCTGCTTCCTCAGTGATGTGATCTCCACCTCCTTGCGGGCCAGCTGCTCCGCATACAGGAAGAACGTGGGCTCGTTGGCTGCAGCCAGCTGCAGTGCCTGCGTCAGGCTATCTGGGGCAGACACATCGGCAAGCTCTCCGGGCCCCCCGCCCCCCACAGGGCTTCTGCGACCTGGCAGCCCAGAGGACAAGGCTGCAGAGCGCAGCTGCTCCAGCTCCAAGTCCTTCTCAGCCAGCACAGCCAGGGCCCGATCCCGCTGCTTGTGCAGCTCTTCTTCGAGTTTCAGCGTGCGGTCCCTGAAGTCCAGCTGGCTCCGCTCTAGCTCCTGCCGGTGGAGATGCTGCAGCCGGGCCAGCTCCTGCTTCCAGTCCTCAGCCTCCTGCTGGTGCTGGCGCTCGAGCTCCTCACAGGACAGCCGCAATGAGATATACTTCTCCTTCAGTTCTGCAAGCTGTTCCTGGGCCTCCTCCAGCTCCTTGGCCAGATTACCGTCTTTGGTGTTCTTGCTCTTGAGGACCACCTGGGCCCTCATCTTGTACCTCTCAAACTCCTCCTTTAGCTGCTTCAGCTCCTGTTGGTAGTAGAGCACGGAAGCCTTCTCCCCGTCAGCAGCCTCTGAGCTGGGCATGATCTCCAGGTCACAGAGCTTCTCCACATCCAGGGTCACCTGGCTTTTCCTGGCTGCCACCTGCAGCAACCTCTTCAGCTTCTCCATCTTATCCTTTAGGACATTGACATCCAGACTGGACTCTTCTCCATGGCTGTCTAGAGGGGACCGGCTGGAGGCTGCCAGAGCCAGTGTCTTGTTCTCCAGATCCAGCTGCAGAATGCGCTCCTTTAGCTTCTGGATGGCCAGCTGGTCCTTCTGCTTGGCTTTCTCATAGGTGCCCAGTAGTTCAGACACCTCAGATATTTGATTCTCCAGGGCCGCCACTCTCTGCTCTTCTACCTCAGATTGCTGCCGCAGTTGATCTTCTGCAAGGGCTGTCTGTAAAACAAAGGAACAGATGGAAATGCATTCCCAAAAAGCCACAAACGCCTATAGCAAACTGAGAAAGCAGGAGAGGGGAGCAAAGGGGTCATGGGATTGGGATGACCTAAAAAGAATGGAAACTGGGGATTTTTCTATTGATCTGGATACTAACGAAAGTTCCTATAACCTGTTTGGGTTCTGCTCCCAGAGATACGTTATACCAAACAATATTAAGAACCTCTGTAAATCTGCTGTTGTTCTGCTTTAGTGCTTCCACTTTCTCCTACCATAAACAAGGCTCACATACGAAGCATATTATCTTTATCGTGTTTCCCCAAATCCTACTAAGAAATCACATGACATTCTTTTCCTCTCCCAATATTCTCAGAAGTTCACAACTCAGTTGGATCTCTCTCCACACTGAAAGGAGCAGTGTAAAATAGCACATCTTTCCTGAACAGGCAAACTGTTGAGAAGCAATTATAAGAGGGTACTTCTGAGAAGATTCCTTTTGCACCTCCTGATCCCCCAGGCATATACCACTACCTAAATAATACATATACCCGTAGGCATACACACTCCTTTCACCACGCAGCTGCCACTCTACTGCTCCACAGAGCACAGCTGGTAAGATGCCACTGCTCAGAAGTTCAGAGGCGTCTGGCTCCAAACCAGCCTTACACTAACAGAGTCCACATCCTGTTGGAAGTGCATTCTGTGGATACTGTCAACACCCCATGGAACAGATTTTCCAGGATTTCCCATATTTCCCAGTGCAACATTCTGAATAGCATCAAAAATCAACAGTGCAGCCACTTAATTCTAATTACCAAAGGAGAAAAAACCCTAATGTTTTCCACTTCAGGCTAAATGACTAATGTTTGAAGGACATGACAATAATTACCTTTCTCATTTCCTGCTGCAACTGAGCCTGGAAATGGCTCTTAAGGCAAGCGGCCTCTTCCTGAAGCTCCTGCAGCCGAGGGTCTGGCCGATTCTTCTCTTCTCGAAGAGCTTGTAGCTCACCTTTCAAGTCCTCCACCTCACGGGTCAGCTGCTTGGTCTGCAGTTCAAACCCTTCCATCTGACCGGCTGCATATGCCCGCCCCGCCAGGACCTCTCGGGTCTCTTCCAGCCGAAGCTCCAAGTCCTGGCGCTGAGTCCTCTCCTCCTGCAGCAGTTTCTGGAGCTCACGAAGCATCACGGCATGGTCACTCTGCTCTTGGGCCCGATCATGCTGCTGGGTGATAAGTCGGGCTTTGGTTTCTGCTATCTGCTCCTGCAGCCCCTTCAATTCTCCCTCCAGACGGCCCCTCTCCTCCTCTGCCTTTTTACTGGTATCCTCTAAGTCCTGTTTCATCTTCTTCTTGTCAGCCAGGTAAGAAGCTTCCATGCGAGACTTCTCCTGGGTGACTGTAGCCAAAGAGCTGGTCAAAGTAGCCAACTGAGTCTTCAGCTGGTGCAGCCGTTTGTCCACTTCTCCACCCCCAGATGCTCCATCTCCACTGCTACTGCTAACGCCACTCTCTGATCCGCTGGCTTCTTCGGACTTTGGAGGTGGTGGGCCACGAGCCAGCCTGTCATCCTCTACCCCAAACTCACCCTTGGTGCTGGTGAGACTGGCCGCAGTATCCAAGCTCGTGGCTGTCCCAGTGCTATCTTCGCTGTGAGTGGAGCATCGGTCATCTGCAGAGTCAGGGAAAGAGAGGCCTGGAGGCTGGACACCTGTGAGGCCCACATCCGCCTCGTGGGATACCGACAGCACCTTAATACTGGCCTCTAGAGCCTCCTTCTCTTTCAGCAGACTTTTATAGGCGCGGACCACATCCTTGAGACGTGCCTGGTACTGCAGGAGCTGCTTCTTCTGCGTCTCAATGGTCTCCAGCAGGTCCTTCTTGCTCGGTCCGCCCCCGAAATTCATGCCAAACTTCTCCATGTTCAGAACCGGTTGCTCGACGTCAGTCAGAAGAGGCCCGCGGAGACCTTGGCGGGGGCAGTAAACGACAGGGACAGAACTGTCCCCGAAGCCGCACACCCGCTCCCCCCGCTGTCGGAGACCGGACGCAGAGCGCTGGGCAGCCGGGCAGAAGCGCCCGCGGGGTCCCAGGCACCGAGGGCGGGGGCGGGTCCTATCTTAGAGGCGGGGCGACGCGGGCTCCAGGAGCACACGGCCGGAGGTCGCCTGTACTGCCCCAGAAGCCGCCCCACGCTCCGCGCTCGCCCAGGCCACAGCAGTCCCGGCCGGCCCTCAGCCCACGGCCGGCCAAGAGTTTAAACGGAGCGTAATCCCATCCCCACTTCCTGACTGCAGTTGCCAGAGAACGGCGCTTCCGGGTCCGCTGGAAGTGACGACACGTGACGCAACTGGCCCCGCCCCCCAGTGGGCGCGTGGTGGGTGGAGTTACTTCGGCCGGTGGGTGGGAGGCGACCGGTTCAGAACTCGGTGCGGCTGCGAGCGCAGGACCACCAAGCCCGGGATTCCGGAGTGACAATGGTATGGTGGGGGCGCCTGAGCCTACCCTCGGGCTCGGATGAGCGAGGAACAGTGCGCAGCGTCACACTGGGTCCTCCTCAAACACCCGGATGAGCGACGCTTCCCCACATTTAGCTCTGTCGCTAAGGATCAACAAGTAAGACTCCCATTTAGACCGCGAAAACTGTAAGCCCTGATAGGACAGTTTTGGCACCTATTAGGTATATAGTATAAAAATTATCAGCACATTGGGCAGCCCGGGTGGCTCAGCGGTTTAGCGCCGCCTTCAGCCCAGGACGTGATGCTGGGGTCTGAGGATCGAGTCCCGCGCCCGGCTCCCTGCGTGGAACCTGCTTCTCCCTCTGCCTGTGTCTCTGCCTCTCCCCACCCCCCCCCCCCCGCCCCGTGTGTGTCTCTCATGAATAAGTAAATTTTAAAAATCTTTTAAAAAAATTATTAGCACCTTTCCTGAGTTCTGCTGAGTTGATTCAACAAATATCTGTAGAGAGCACCCTATGGCCATGACCCTCATCGTATGTGCCAACTGTATTCCAGGACCTTCACGAGAGTTTTGATATTAAGCCCTTGGAGTTATTCTGCTCAGTGGATGGAAACATGAGACACAGGTTAAATAACATGCCCAAGGTCATACAACTAGGAATTCTACCTATATGTGTCTAACTCTCACCAAGTGCTGCTCCAGGTGACCACTATGAAGAGATAAGGTCCTGTCCTCAAGGAGCTTCTTCTATCTAGTGTTACAAACACAAGTCCTGCTCTGATACCAGTATGTATGGGGATTTTCAAAGTGACGTGGAAGTGAAGAGGAGGGCAGCCTGTCTAGGGGAGGCAGAGAATGTTCTCAGGGAAAATACTCAGGGATTTGAAGCATGAGTAGCAATTGTCCATCTGACTAAAGATGAGGGAACCAAGCATTCCTGGTAGAGGGGAAAGATTGCAACAGACTCCTACAGCTTCAGAGAGGCTGGTTTACCCAGAAAGCATTGAGAATCATTTCATGGCAGTAGCTTAGGGTATGTGAAGGAGGTGGCAACAGATGGGGCTGGCACAATAGGCGGAGACAAATTAAGGCCTTTCGATTTTATCTTGGGTGCTAAGAAGACACTAAACAATTTTAATCTTGAGTGGCATCATCCAGACTTGTATCACAGGTTGAAGATACCAAGGGGCAGCCGACTGGTAAGGACACTATTTTTGTCCTAAGGAAGAGGATATGGTAATGAAATAGGGCAATGAAAATAGGGCAAAGGAAGAAGCTAATTAAAAGAGCTAAAAAGCTGTAGAACTGACCTGACTCGGTCACTAGTTATTATATCGAGACTCTTTTAAATGCACTCTTCAACCTTGTAAAAAGCCTTCTTAGGAATGCAAGTCTATGGCTGAAGAGTAAAGGAAAGTCATGGACTCACTCATACCTAGTGCCCAAAGTCTGTTCTCTTTACAGACTTTTCAGGTCAGGATGGGGCAGACCCTGGAGGCCTATTCAGACCTAATTAGTTTCTTAGTGGCCCAGATAACATCCAGCTGCACCATACATACAGATATATTATCATTTTAATCTTCACCATAACCTCATTAGATAGGGCAGATATTAGTCTCCTTCTGTAGAAAATAAACGAGTTGTGAGGATTGAAGCTAAACCCTCCAAAAGAGGGGGTGGGTGGGGACAGAACTGAGATTTGACTGAGACCTGGAACAATGGTCCATAGTGGGCATTCAATATTTGTTGAGTGACTGAATGAATAAAGGTTCTCTGACTCTCAGCTCCCCTCACCATGTCCAGTCCCTAAGCAATTGATCCTAGAAGCCTACTGGCAATCCAGTTTCAAATTGCTTGTCCTTGCTCCACTGAGCAGCCTATTAGTCCATTCAAACCAGCAAGTACTGTATTTATTAAGCATATATTAGGTGCCTGGCACTGACCCAGTCTCAGCCATAGACACAATTTAAATTAATTCCTGTCTTGCTATTTCCCCCTTGGTTGCTGAGTGGGAAAATTACTTACGAAGCACTTTGAGTCTAAAGCCACAAGAGTTTCATAAATTCCTGGATAGGTGTGCATTAAAAATCCGGGTTCCCAGGTCTCTGGCAAAGTGAAGAAGCTTCAGAAAAGCTGCCTGGATCTACTGAAAAGCATTGTGCCCGGGGCCATCGAGGCAAAGGCGTTGTTGTCCAGCATGCAGGAATAGGTTCTGCTGATTGCAAAACCAAGAAGGCCAGCTAGCGCTTGGACACCCTTTTTCCACCAACTCTCTTTCTCACTCCTCTCGAGATTCTACAGTCACTTGAACTACCTGCAACGCTCAAAGCCCCTCTCTGGGCGCTGAGGGGCCAAAGCAGACTAAGACGCGTTCACAGAGCTTCCGCTCCCCTAGGAGGGTGGTGCATACATACAGTGGATGATGCTAGTTCGCTAGAGCTAAACCAGAAAGCAGGGTGGGCTGGACGCGACAAACCAAAGCCCAAGAGGCCGGCCACTTAAGCTGAGGGTCAGGGGCCGTTGGGGAGCATTGTAAACTTTCCTCGGCCCCGCTCGGGCTGCCGGTGAAGCAGCCACAGATCTGCCGGCCCTCGAGAAACGAGGGGAAACCCAGACCCATCCCCTCTTTAAGCCTGGGCGGGACGCGGCGAGCTTGCGGAGACTCGCTGAGCTTCTGATTTAGCCCGAGCGGGAGCCTGGGGGCGGGGAAGGGGCGGGGCGGGGGCGGGGCCCGGCCGGGGGCGGGCCCGCGGTGACGTAGGGCGGGCCGGGACGCGCGGAGGCGGCGGCGGAGCCTCCTCCTCCTGCTGCTGCGCCCCATCCCCCAGCGGCCGGCCGGTTCCAGCCCGCACCCCGCGTCCGTGCCCGCACCCCCTCCCCCGGGCCCCGCCATGGGCCTCACCGTGTCCGCGCTCTTTTCGCGGATCTTCGGGAAGAAGCAGATGCGGATCCTCATGGGTGAGGCAGATCAAGCGCGCGGCCCGGACCGGAGCGTCGGCCCCCGCGCAGCCCTCCCGCCCCCGCGTCCCTCCGAGCCCAGCTCCGCCGGGTCTCTGAACCCGAGTCACCCGCCGCCTAACCCCCTGCGGTCACTGCTCTCGGGCGGGTCGCGATCTGCAGCGCGGACCCCGGGGCCTGAGCCCGGGAGCTGCGGGCCTGGGTGGGGTGAAGCTCCCTCCGCCCCAGCCAGGCTGGTAAGAAGGGAGGATTCCGCCCTTGGAGACGACTTTTAAAAGGAGCGCAGCCCTCCTCCTAGACCCCTACCCCTCTCCCGCCTCGCCCGCTTCGGTGCACGAGTTGGTGCTCACCACCCAGACTGGTCTCAAGGCCTCGGAGGTGGAGAACAGCGCGCACCTGCAGGCGCTAGGGCTCTCCGCCCCAGTCTCCATCAGCTGTCCTGGCCTCTCCCCTTCCCTGATCTCTAGAGGGCTCCCTCGCTCCCGTCTCCATCCCTATGCCCCTCTCGGTTGCAGTTGGCTTGGATGCAGCTGGCAAGACCACAATTCTGTACAAACTGAAGTTGGGGGAGATTGTCACCACCATCCCCACCATAGGTGAGTTCTGAGGCGAGGCGGGGAGGAGCGGGAGGCTGATGGGAGGCCGCCTCAGGGGCTGCTCCCCATTCTGCCTGAGGCCCTTATCTCCGTGCAGTGAGCTGACCCTGACACCAGACACTGCCACCTGAGAAGTGGGTCACAGTTACCTTTAGTTGCTGGATGGTGCCGAGGCAGGGTGAATGTGACCTAGCCCCGCCTGGTCTGTGGACTGCCGGTCCTCTGCGGTTCTGTTCCCATGGGTTCTGTTCCCATGGGACTTCGTCGTTGCCTTCTGGTTTTATATGTCTCTGATGAATCCACCCAGATTTAATGAGTTCCTTTCTTTCAGGACTTTGTTCTCATATTTTTTTTTCCCATTATCTCCAGGCTTCAATGTGGAAACAGTAGAATACAAGAACATTTGTTTCACAGTCTGGGACGTGGGAGGCCAGGACAAGATTCGGCCTCTGTGGCGGCACTACTTCCAGAACACTCAGGTGGGGTGGGGCTCCCCAACCCCGGGAGAAAAGGTGTTAGAGCTCCAAACCAAGATGTTGGCATAGGCTAGGCCCCCAAGCCAGGGAAAAAAAAAACAAAAAAACAAAAAAAAACGTTAACCTCCTTCTGTTCTCATTTGTAGGCTTGCTTCTACTCATCCTTCAGAAATGGCCATAGTCTTCTGAGACTTAGCCACCTTACGCTTCTCCTGAGAAGCAGGGTTCTGAGGCCATGTGGCCTCGTTTATTTATTTATTTTTAAAGTAAGCTTTCACCCAATGTGGGCCTTGAACTCACAACTCCGAGATCAAGAGTTGTATGCTCTGCCGACTGAGCCGGCCGGGTGCACTCATGCTGCCTCATTTAGCTCTGGTCTCATCTTTCCTTGTTCCCGTGCACTTCTTCTAGCTACACTGCTTGCCTGAGGGCAGAGTCTGTATCCTTCGCAGGATGTCGCCAGTTTGTGCCAGCATGTCTGCAGAACCTTAGTGAAAATTTACTAGATGAGAAGGTTTAGACACAAAGATGGGAAAAAGAGAAAGAGCCAGACTAGGCTATGTCCCAGGTGAGAGTGATTGCTTGTCTTTTCTTCCTTCCCACCCAGGGCCTCATCTTCGTAGTGGACAGTAATGACCGAGAGCGGGTCCAGGAATCTGCTGATGAACTCCAGAAGATGGTGAGCACCCAGAGCCCTGGTTGCTGAGCCCTCGTTGGAGACAGATCTCTGAGATCTCTGTGCTAACATGAAAGTCAGGAAATAGCTCACAGGCTTTGAATGTCTCCCTTTGTGGATGCAGACACAAGGAGTATCTCACCCTGTTTTGAATTTGAGTTGGGTGAAAGGCATATGACTGACTTTTTCCTTGAATTTTCATGTCTTCATATCTGAGAAGTTGGTGGGGAAAGGAGGAATTATATGTGGTGGAGAGAAATATCATCTTACATTCTTGTTTTCCCATTTGGAAATGTTGTCATTTTGACTAGGGCAAGTCATTAGAAAAAGGGTCTTTCTGGATATAAGTCCAAATGGCTCCAAGCTGATTTATGACTCTGTCTTGTGTTCAGCAGTAGACTATGCAGTATTACATTTTTTTTCCCACAAATCTGGTAGGAGGTAGGAAAGGGTGCTCCCCTACACAGCAGGGAAGAGGAAGCCTGGAGACTCCGCTAGGACTCCAGACTCCATCCCCTTCACCTCCCTCAGCTGCAGGAGGATGAGCTGCGGGATGCGGTGCTGCTGGTGTTTGCCAACAAGCAGGACATGCCCAACGCCATGCCTGTGAGCGAGCTGACCGACAAGCTGGGGCTGCAGCATTTGCGCAGCCGCACGGTGAGGGTGCTGCCTCTCCCAAGGGAGCCACAGGCTGGGGTGGGAAGTCAGGGCATCCCCTTTTCTTCCTTGCTGCTGATCATTCTTTCCTTTTCCCCCCCGCAGTGGTACGTTCAGGCCACCTGTGCCACCCAAGGCACAGGCCTGTATGATGGGCTCGACTGGCTGTCCCATGAGCTGTCAAAGCGCTAACCAACCAGGGGCCGGCCCCTGCTGCCCGGAAGCTCCCGCGTGCATCCCCGGGACAACCAGATTCCCGGACTCCTCAGGCGGTGCCCTTCCCTCCCACTCCTCTCCCACAGACACAGGCCTCTGCTCCTGCTCCTGCCTGCATGTTGTCTCTGTCATCTGAGCCTGGAGTCTCACTCTCCGGGCACGGAGGGGTCTGCTCTCCTGCCTGCTCGGACTGTGGAAGGGACTTCCAGGGCTGAGGCCCTTTCTTCCAGAGGAGGAGCAGGGATCTGGGTTTACTTTTGTTTTTTCCATTTTGGGTGTACCCTTGGGGCCAGGTGGGGAGGGGAGGTGAGGGCTCCGGGTGGTGCTATGATGGATATTGAGTAATAAATTTGCTGTGGTTTCTACACAGTGTTGTCTGTAGCCTAGAATGGGGGGGGGTGTTGTTGGGTACAAAGAGACAATATGATATGGGGGAGACTCAAAGCAGCTAAGGCTGTGGCGCCAACCCTCCCACCAGCGCGCCTGCGGACACACTGCTACCTTCATGTAGCTCAGCTTCACCCACCTTATTCTCGAGGGTACAAGTACCTCAGGTACCACATTCCCTCCCCAATTCCCGGGGACCTTTGTTGAGAGTAAACAGGCTCTACCTTTGTGAATCTGTAAATCCCATACATCCTGTTCCTCTCTATCTCCTAGCTACTTAGAGCAGTGGTTCTTAATGATTACTATGAACATTAATACGGGGGGGGGGGAATATTTATTAAAAATACGGTCCTGAGGTGTACTTCAAGAAATATGATTCATAAGGACTGGTCTGAAGCCCAAGAATCTGAATCTTTAAAATTACACTGGTGATTGTGTCACTAGTAGTCTCTTAGCCTTATTTTATAAAACATCGGTAGGACCTTTTTAATCCTTGGGGGTGAAAGCTCCTCACTGTGCACTGGACTTCCTACCTGGGAAGACATCCCTGCCCTTTACTACCACACCCCCACCACGGAGGCCTAGGAAAATGTATGTATGGAACCAGGAGGGTGGGCTATTGTCCAAGTGTGGTTCACACTATCCATTCTTTGAATCCTAGCAAAGCTTAAAACCTACCATCACCACCATTATTTCTTCTTGCCTTTCTCCTTTCATGTCAATTTCTCTAGGTTCTGGACTGATTTTCTCCATGAGCTTTGTAAGAAGTGAGTCCCAGAGGCTGTTGGCCAACAGGGACCCTTTGAGGGAAAGGGTGCACTAGCCATGTGCCCAGCAGCAGTGCAGCTGGGGATTCTGAGGGAGATGCCCAGTGCTCTTCCCATCTAGAACATTTTCCTTCCACTGCTCTGAGCTAGCCCTTTCTGATGAATATGAGTAATTTGATCCTTGCTGGTTATCTATCTAGGGTTTCCTCACATTTCCTGAAAAGTACCTTCTGAGACATTTTGGCCTCATTCTCCCAAGGGCTGTAAAAGTTAATAGATTTTTCCTGGATATCTTGAACTTTAAAAAAAAACACTTGAGTCCCAAGGGAGCCAAGCAGAAGTTACTTCCTAGGGAGGAAGGAGGCTGGTTTTTATCCTGTGATTAAAATGGGAAACAAGTGAAGACGATGTTTGCCTATAGTCACAGGTGAGCGCCAGCACAGGCCAAAATTCTGATTCCCAGTCTCAGCTCAGCCTACCTTGGTGTCTGGAGTTGCGTGGGGAGGTTAACGCCAGAAGCCCTAGACCTACTTCCTCTGGGCTGTGAATTGACATTGCCAGGCCAGTGCCCTTTCCTCACTGTGGATAAGAGGCAGCCTTCACAGTCACAATGCTCCCGGGTCACAGAGGTGCTGGGCCCTAGGCCAGCCTCTGCCTGAGAAATTCTCTCCGGGAACTTCTGGTGGGTACTACAGGCCTGATTCCAGGCCCTATGGCCTGTGGAACCGCACCACTGGGGGGAAGGCAGGGCCGGACAGAGTCATCACCTGTGGTGCCGGCCCCATGGATGAGGTGGAGTGGACACGAAGACCCAACCCTGAGGAGCTGAGGGTTGGGCTCATCAGCTGGGCAGGATCCTACCTCACTTCTGAGGCTTATAAGAATACGGTCACTGCTACTGCAAAGGGTTTGGGCCGGAGACAGGTAACAAAGCGAACCTGTACTGGAGTTGTTTTTCCCAGTGGCCAAGCTTGCTCTTTCACATTCTCTCTCTCTCTCTTTCTTTCATATGTGTGTGAGTGTGTGGTGCCTGGGGTACACTTTCAACCTAATCATTTTCCTAGCCTTTGTCACTACTAGGCTGAGACCCTCCTACCCCAGGATTTTGCTCACAGGTTTCCTTCTCTCTGTCTCCTCCTCTCTAAACCTGTTCTGAGGGGCAAAGGCTCAGCCCTTGCTGCCTTGTCTTCTCTGGCTGCTTTCTTCCCTCTGCCCCAACACTGGGTGGTTGTGTCATCACAATGAGTAGAGGTCAAGAGCCCAGGCTGGAAGGCAGAATTGTGGGAGTCCAGAGCAAGATGGATGGGTGGAGGGACTGTAGGGCTGGTGATGCTGTTCTGGTTGTGGTTTAGGAATGGGGAACTCTAAAGCCCTAAGAGAGTGAAGCTCTTCATTTTAGGGAGAGATGTAAGCAACCCCACAATGGCACTACAGAGTGAGGTAGCAGCAAGGCTCTCGTTTACAACAGGGTTGATCACAGCTGAACCAGACAATTGCATCTCAACTGTGTGTGTTCCCATCCTTATCCCTGGACCCTGGGCCCACCTGTAAGAGATCTTGATTTTCTCCTGCCATGCTGGAGAGGTGGGCTCTGGGGATGGGAGTGTTAGCTAGTGTGCTATCCAGGGACAACAGTGAGGAAGAGAAAAGTAAAACTTAAACCAGAGCACTAATTAGAAAATTAGGTATTGAAGGAAGCCACCAAGTAAGAGAGAAAGAGGTTTACCTTTGGTTAGCTAGAAGAGGTAGACATTTAGAACTTCTCCTGGGATCTTGAGTAGTACTCTGATTCCAGCAGTCGAGACCTCCCGAAATTTTTCGATTACTGTTGGATGAGAGAGCGGGAGAGCTGACAGTCAACACGGAGGCCGATGTGGAGGGGAAGGTGGTTGGTCCCCATGAAGGTTCTAGGATTAGGCCAGGAGTAATGGTGGTAGGACTCCCTGGCCTAGTCGTTTGGCTGTAGTACATTTTCTTCTCCCTCCCAATGCCTCCAGACCTGGGAGATCTTGGTGAGCAATGAGCACGACACCCAGGCTGTAGTACGACTGAGGAGCTTGCAAGGCCTCTACCTCCTGTGTGAGGCAGATGGCAGTCTGTGCTATGGCCGGCCAAGGACCAGTCACCATGGATGCTTCCTACTGCGTTTCCACCGCAATGGCAAGTGGACTCTCCAGTGCATAATTAGTGGTCGTTATCTGGAGTCTGATGGTGAGGATGTGTTCTGCAACTCAAGGGTGCTTTCAGCTTACCACATGTGGACGCCCCGGCCAGCCCTACATGTCCATGTGATCCTTTACAGCCCTGTCAACCACTGCTATGCCCGGGCTGACCCCACTGTGGGCCGCGTCTGGGTGGATGCACCTGTTCCCTGCCTAGAGGAATGTGGCTTCCTGTTGCATTTCCAAGACGGATGCTACCACCTGGAGACCTCAACACACTTCTTTTTGTCCCACTTAGACCGGCTCGTCCCCCAACCCTCAACACAGACAGCTTTTCACATGCAGGTACGGCCTGGAGGGCTTGTGGCACTAAGCGATGGAGAAGGAGGCATGTTGTACCCACAGGGTGCACGCCTGCTCCTGGGCCTGGGCTCCAATCCCCACAGGGGCGAGGAGTGGTTCATCCTACAGCGCTGTCCGACGTGGGTCAGCCTCAGGTCAAAGACTCGGAAGTTCCTCTCCATCATTTATGGCAAGTGCTGGGTTCAAAACAGCTGTGGAGGGAGGGAGAGCTGGCTGCTGAAAAGAGAAAAATGTGCTCAAGATCAGTAAGGATTTTTGAACCTCCCAAGAAGGAAGATCCTGGGGTCCCAGCAGGATCTCCTAGGCCATGGAGCAGGGTGATAAGGCAGGGCATGGGCTTCAGGGAAAAGTCGCCTAGGTCTTCTCCAGGCTCCTACGGTCCAACAGAAGGCAGAGAAGGCTGAGGAGGGAAAACAGGGAACCCAGCCATGAAGTGTGGAGGAGGAACTGAGACTGAGGGTGAGGCCAGAGTCTGGCTTCTTCTGACATGTTCTTTCCCTTCAGATGTTGAGATATATGCTGCCTCTGAGCACGTAACCCCAATGTCCTTGTTCCAGTTCGAATGCAATGATGAGAGCTCCACCTTGCAGCTTCGTGCAGCCAATGGCTGCTACCTAGCCCAGGTGAGACCTTTGCCTTCTGAGCAAGAGAACCCTTAATACCTGAGCCTCCCATTCTAGACATACTTTCTCCTTCTTTAAGGCAGGTGAGCAGATGCTGTGAATAAAGTTGCTAGGAACATTTGTGTACAAGTTTTTTTGTGGGCCTATATTTTCGGTTATCCTAGGCAAATACATAGGGGTAGAAATACTGGGTTATGTGATAAATGTGTATCTATATTTTTATTCTTTTTAAAGATTCTATTTATTTGAGAGAGACCATGCTAGAGACAGGGAGAGAGAAAGAGAGCGTGATTGGGGGGCAGGGACAGAAGGAGAGAGAACCCACACAAGGCTCAAGGCTCCATCCCAGGATCCTAGGATCATGACCTGAGCCAAAGCTGGCTCAGCTGACTGAGCCACCGAGGCACCCCATGTTTATATTTTTAAGAAAATGTTAAATCGTTTTCTGAAGTGAGTATACTATTTTACATTCTTGCCAATAATGTATGAGAGCTCTAATTGCTCCACATCCTCATAAACACTGGGTATTGTCTGTGTTTTTAATTTCAGCCAACCTAATGGATGTGTAGTGGCATCTTACTATGGCTTTAATTTGCATCTCCCTTATAATTCATAATGTTGAGTATCTTTTCATGTGCTTATTGGCCATTTGTGTCTTCTCCATGAGGTGTCTCTTCAAATATTTTGCCCATTTGTCATTGGGTTGCTTATCTTATTATTGAGTTGTAAGAGTTCTTTCTATGTTCTAAAGTCAAGTTCTTTGCCAAATGTATGTATTTTAAGTGTTTCCTCCCAGTCAGTGGCTTGCCTTTTCATTTGCTTAATAGTGTCTTTTGAGCAGCAAGTTATTAATTTTGATGAAGTTCAATCTCTCCACTTTATGAAAGAGTAGTGGTTGTGTTGTCCTTTTTTTTTAGATTTTTATTTATTTATTCACGAGAGAGAGAGAGAGAGAGAGAGAGAGGCAGAGACACAGGCAGAGGGAGAAGCAGGCTCCACGCAGGGAGCCTGATTTGGGACTTGATCCTGGATCCCAGGATCATGCCCTGGGCCGAAGGCAGGCGCCAAACCACCAGGGACCCCCTGGTTTTGTTGTCCTAATAAATCATTGACTGCTCCAACATTGCAAAGAATTTCTCCTATGTTTTCTTTTAGACATTTTCATTTTTATGTGTATTTTGAAATGATTTTGGAGTGTAGGCCAAGGTTTATTTCTCTCCATGTGGATATCCAAGTCCCTTTTTGATAATGGACTCTGGGATATAGCAAAGACTGGGGAAGTGGGAGAGCTGAGGTCATAATATGTTTTCCAAAAACAATGTGAAAGCATAAAGCATGCCCTGGGAGAATGAAGAAGGCTAGTGGGTGAGATGTAGGAAAGGGTCTAGAAATAAAGATGATGGGAAGAAAGCTGAGATTTTGTCCTTGTTCCCTTCTCTGCTCCCTATAATTTCTCCAGAGGCGCCACAGGACAGTGGTGGCTAATGGACACCCAATGGAGTCTGACACCTTCTTCCGCGTGCACTGGAATTGTGGCAAGATCATCCTGCAGGCTCCTAATGGACGCTTCTTAGGCATTGTGGACAATGGCCTGCTGATGGCCAATGCCACCATTCCAGGTGAGTAGAACAGCCCTTTCACCAGGTTATTCCAAGTCAGAGATGCTTTAAGGGGGAGCTGGGATATAATAGAGCACTGAAGTTGGGACCAGAAGATTTAGGTCTGTATATTTGCTGTGTCACTGAATTTTTGTCATCACTCCTTTGAGCAAACACTCCTTTGAGCCTCAGTTTCACTGATTCCATTATCAATGGAGGTGATATCCAACCTGCCTGCCTCACTGGATTATCATGAAAATTAAACAGATTCACACATCTTGCAGGAAGAAAGAAGATTAAAATTTCGGGCTTCACACTGTACTAAGTGCTTTCATAAACATTCCATAATCGCCTAGCCTAAGATCTGGCACATAGTAGGCATTCACTAATTCTTAAAATGTTGACAACACTCTGCAATTAGTGTCCCTTTTCCTGCTTCTATTTGGGAAAGAATCTAGAAGTTGCTCATCCAGATAACTCCATTCTATTTCTTTCAGGCCCAAATGAGGAATTTGGGATTCGATTAGCTAACCGTCGCTTCCTTGTATTGCGAGGTCGTTATGGGTATGTGGGCACCTCATCAGAACACGACCTAATGAAGTGCAATATGGATCAGCCCGACAGCATTCACCTGCTGCCTTGCCGCCAGGGCATCTACCACTTCCAGGGTGAGGAGCTCCTCTTTTTCATCCCTGGGTTCACAGTCCAGTCCTGCCTTACCCCCAACTCAGACTTCAGGACCTGCTGCTCAGAGCCTACTCATCAGAAACGGAGTTTTTGTTTGTTTTCACACTTCAAGGCCCCCAGAATGGGTTGGCAGAACAAAACCAAGCCCTCCTGCATTTTCATAGAGGCACCTGCCAACACAAGCAGGGAAGGGTAGTTAGGGAGGGGTGGCATGCTTCTCAGGAGCCTCCTCAGGCTATACCCGCTGGAGGGCTTCATCCTTCACCCTTTCCTCCCCAGCACAGGGTGGATCCTTCTGGTCAATAACATCCTTTGGTACCTTTCGCCCTTGGGGAAAGTTTGCTCTCAACTTCTGTATAGAGCTTCATGGGAGCAACTTGCTCACAGTGCTGGCACCCAATGGCTTCTACATGCGATCCGACCGAAGTGGCACCCTGTTGGCAGACAGCGAAGAGATTACCAAAGAGTGTATTTGGGAGTTTTAGGTAAGATTAAGTGGGTAAGGACCTGGAGGTGGAAGAGCAGGAGCTGAGGGGCAAGAAAAGAAGGGATGTGGGGGAGAATGAGACAAAAACACACCAGTGGACTGACTTCTGTCCCACAGCTGCTTGATCAACTCAGGACATTTATTCCAAATCTGTGCCCTTCCTCTCAGGGCTTCTAAACGCAGACTTGCTGGAGAAAGGAGGGGAAATCAGATCTAGGTCTCTCACTATTGTGCCACACTGACATGTGAGTGCAGGCAAGCTTGCAGGGGACAGAATCAGGGGTACTCGTGTGTTTATCTCTCTTTGTTAAGACGCAGAGTTTTGCCCCATTTTTAGGGAAGACAGATAACTTTGAGGGTATGCTTTCTATCCTATGCACTTTCTGCTCCTACACCCCTGGATCCCTGTAGTGCTGATGGCTTCCAAATATTCATCTGCAACTCTGACCCTTGTCCTGATCTTTAACCTCTTCCCTTTCCAACTTCCTGATTTACAGCTGACTTGACTTTGTCCTGCCATCCCCTCAAAATCAGCCTCCTCACCTTCCCCTCCAAAGATGATTCTTCCTAAGTTCCCCAAGGCCATCTAGGGCATTGCTGTCCTCCCAAATGCTCTGCATCAAGACTTCAGCACAAAAAAAAAAAAAAAAAAAAAAAGACTTCAGCACCATCTCTCTTTCCTCCTTTTCATTCCAATGACTTCACTGAACCCTGGAAATTCTTGGGTACTTCCTTAATGCCTCTTGAGTGCTTGTTCTTTCTTAAATCTTTTTTATTTTTATTTATTTATTCATAAGAGATACAGAGAGAGGCAGAGACACAGGCAGAGGGAGAAGCAGGCTCCCTGTGGGGAGCCTGATGCAGGACTAGATCCCCTGACTGAGATCATACCCTGAGCCAAAGGCAGACGTCCAATAGCTGAGCCACCCAGGCATCGCTAGTGCTTGTTCCTTCTTAACTACCTTTGCTACTGTGTAGATCCAGGTTTTTCACCCAAAGCCTCTACTGCAATATAAGGACTCCTCAGCAGCACTTCCTAACTCCAGATCCGTCCCATCCAATCTCTTCACATCAAGGTCACTTTCCTAAAGTGCTGTCTCTAATTCATCATTCCCTATTCACAACACTTTAGGATACCTCATTGCTCTTAGTATTTCTTCATAGTTGACCTCGCTTCCTTGGCTTGGAAAATCATAAGGATGTTATAGGAAGAAGAGCTTTGATTTTGATATCTTGGAACCTCAGGGAATTTGCTTTAACATTTCTGGGCTTTATTTCCTTATCTGTAAAATGGGAGCAATATCTACTTCATAGGGTGGTATGAAGGTTAAGTAACTATGAATCAAGATGTAGACCCTCAATATATATGTTCACTCCTTTCCTGCATTTTCTACTGGTATTCTACACAAACCCTTTACTATGGCCAAACTGGAAAAAATCAAATGAAATCCCACTGGGCTTGTTTTCTTATCTGTTCCATGAAGGGTTTCAATTGAACTAAATTTCTCAGGCTCCTTCCAGGCCTGACATTCTAGTAGACAAGGTATCATAGTGGTTAGAGCTCATTCTTGGATATTGAACTGGATTCTAATTAGATTTTTTATCAGTTAAACTTTTTGTTTGACCCTGGAAAAATGAACCTCTCAAAAGCCTGCTCCTTGTTGGTGAAATGGGAATACAGTATCTATCTCATAGGATTGTTATGTAATGTGAGATAATGATTACAAGATGTGTAGTAAACAGCCTGGTGCCTAATGCACTGTAGTCTATCAGAAGTCTTTCCTGATCCAATTGAATTCTTAGTAAATCTTATCTCTTGAATATAGTACCCCTTTGGACTCTGATGGTATTTTTTACACCATTAATTTGATTAGAAAAAGAATTTGTACTACCTTTTCCTATAAATTAACTTCACATACATCTGTGTAATCTTCATCAAGCACGGCAAAACAGGGCGCCTGGGTGGCTCAGTTGGCTAAGCGTCTGACTCTTGATCTCATCTCAGGTCTTCATCTTAGGGTCATAAGTTTGAGCCCTGTGTTGGGCTCCATGCTGGGTGTGGATCCAACTTAAAAAAAAAAAAGAATGGAGAAAATCACTTTATTCCATCTTTTCCCAGATGATCTTACCAGATTTTTCCTAAAAGCCCAAGATGAGCAAATGATTGACTGAAAGTTTCTATTTCCCCTTACCTTCTCAGGCCAATGGGATGCCACCTATGGAAATCCAAATCTTCCAGGAGAAACTACTGCACTAAACACAACAGGAACCTCAAAGTCAAGATCCATGAGAATGTCTGTTACACTACTTTCCCTACCCAGTTTAGCAAAACACCTGTTTCGGGCAACAATACATCTCAAAAGGCCACCCCCAAGACCCCTGTGTGCTGTGCTCTTCAGTACGGAATAGAGGTCTTGATGTGGGTAGACAGAGGCCTCAGGCCACTCCAAGTTCTATCCAAAAGAGGCAAGACCAAATGGTAACCAGTTCTTCCATTCATCTTCCCCATCCCTGCCAGGACCAACATAATTTTTCCAGTAATCCCATAAGGAGCCAGTTTTGCCCTGAAGGACTCAGAATCCAGAAATAATTAGATGTCCTTTTGGTTTTGAAAGAATGAAGTATTATGAGTCCTATGGGCACAGGGTCATTGTAATGACACACCTTATGGCTATAAGGCCCCCCTCCTGATCCCCCATGAAGTTTACCAAATATCCTGCTTTATCCTTACCTTTGATCTCATCAGTTGGGCAAGATGAGTACTATCCCTATCACTGCCCACCTTTTTTTACAGGGACCTGAAGTGATTTGCCCAAAGTCCCATGACTGGGAGTTCTGATTCAATTCTTTGATTAGAATGGACTATAATATCCATTACTCTTTCCATCAAAACAGAGCTTCCACAATGACCATCACTCTTGTACTGTCTTTATAACTTTGGCCTTCATCTATCTACTATCTGTTCTATCAATGTCTTTATTGACATAGAACTCTTAAGTACTTTTAATTGGAAAGGAATATTCTAATCACTATCATAAAATGGAAAATGAGAAATCACTTGCCATAAATAGAAAGCGACTTAAAAATAAATACAATGAAAACAAAGTGATGTTATCAAATTCTAGTTAGATTTCCCTCCCCTGCCCAAGGCTCAGAACCTGAGGTTCCCTTTCCCTCTGTTACAAAAAAGATTTACAACTGTTACAGAGGCACTAAAAAATAGAATCAAAGTGAAAGTTTTCTCATCAATACAATCAGAATTGAAAAGGAGTCAAAAGGGGAATAATTTCCTCATTTCTGACTAAATGTTATTTAAAGCAGTGTCTATATGCCTCCTAAAATGTTCTCAAATACCAACAGTGATGCCTGACCCCAACTTTTGGGAAATTGCATCATACTATAATGAGTGCCTGGTTTTTAAATCTATTGAGAAAAGAAGCTAATATCACAACATGAAAGAGATTCCATTTTCATAGAGAAAATGACCTCAGGTTTTTGTAAGTATGTTTCTCCTCAAGAGATATAAAATAATTCTGTAAAAATTTTAATCTAGCAAGTGAGGCTAAAGAACACTAGAGACCAGGGCATCTCTTTCCAAGAGAAAGTTGAGAACAGGCCAAAGATATGGAGTGGAATACACAACACCCTCCAGAGAGATAGGACCTTAGAGGTCATTTAATGTAGATTAAAGATTAAGAGATTCTTCTCTTCCTCGGCATTCCATAAATGCATGTACAAATTTAGATGCATGAGCTTGCATATGCACAGAAATACACACACGTGCACACATACCCTACACATAGTCTCTTATCTCCCATTCCCCACAAGTGGGCATTCATCCTCCATTTGACTGTATTTGGCCCTGGAGCCTCAGCTGGCAGCTCCCTCCATGGCTGACATGAGTCCCATTGCTAAGTGAATGGCTTGTTCTTAGATTGTCCTGTGCGGATTGTCATCCCACAAAACTTCACTCATTTTCCTGGGCAGTCTGTCAGCAGGGCAGGGGCAGGGTGTACTCCACCACTCTTGGAATTTCATTCTAGAGCTATACTGTCCCACAGAACTTTCTGTGCTGATGGAAATGTTCTATAATGTTTACTCTTTGATACAGTAGCCATGGGACACCTGTGACTATTGGCCATTCCATATGTGGCTAGTGTGAATAAGGAGCTGAATTGTTCATTTTACTTAATTTTAATTACATTTAAATATCCAGTGTGATTGGTGGCTATTTACTGAAGAGCACAGCACTAGAGTTTTTGATAAGATAACTTCTGGATGAGTACTCCTCCCAGATGGGAGAAAACAAACTTGCCCCCACTCCTTTTATCCTGCTTCACATCATCATCATTCTATCCCCAGCCCACCAAAAGGGCAAAAATTGGGAGGGATGAGCCCATCCCCCATTCAAAATATCCCTTTCTTCACCCTCTTTTCCCTGTATTCTTCTCTTTCACTACATACCGAGGCTTCCCAGGAGGAGCCTAGAGATTTCTCTGAAGGGAGACAGAATTGAGAAGATTTGGAACTTACTGCCAAGAAGAACCAAGCAAACATGCCCCAGGAGCATGTGGGCAAGCAGAGTATGAATAATGGCATTTCCGCTGTGCTGCTTTGCAAAAAATACATATGCAATTAAGGAAGTAATGTGTATTTTCTTAGATAAAGGAATTATTGTAAATTTTTTTTAGATGTTGTAATTATCTAAGAAAAGTTCCTTATTTTAGGGGAATGTCTGTTGGGGACTTAGGGGTGACATGCCATGATCAGTGTATGGGTGTGTGGGTGCGTGTGCATATGGGTGCATGAGTACCCAAACACTATTATAGATCATATCTATATACGTACATATGTAGATATATACACAGATAGTTAAATATATAGATTAGACAGATTGGATAGTTACATAGACATAGATACATTAAATAGGTGATAATTAGAAACACACATACATAATTACATGTATAAATAGATCATAGATAAATACATAGATTAGATGGATTAGAAGATAGGGATATAGGAAGATAAAGATGATAGGTAGATAGATAGAGCAAACTTTCTTAAACGTAGGGGTGGGAGTATGAATGTTCATGGGATAAACACTAACAGGAACTACTGCTAATTTAAAAAATGCTTTTATTCTTGCCAACTAGGAGCCATTTAAGGTCAGCGTGAGTAGTGGGTGGGCACGGTTTCTCCAGCCCCGGTGCTGCATTGGAGAGGCAGTGAGGCGGAGCCAGGTCCACAGATGAGAAAGAGTCACAGGAAGGAAGGGGCAGCAATAATCTGCTTGGGCAGGATTAGGTCCTCCTCACCCTATCTCCTTCCCAGCCTGACCCTCCTCCCTCATGCCAGGCTTTGCAGGGGTGGGGGGCTGTGCCAGAGCAAGGTCTAAGGGGCACCAAGACTGGTAATGGAGGCAATGGAAGGAAGGGCAAGGGTGGCAGAGCAGTACTGAATCCAGGGATCTCGGCTGCAGGAGGCAGGTAACCTACAGGGACAAAAAAGAGGCTGAGTTTGCATTTGTTGCTGTCACCCCAGCCCTCAAAGTCACTGGTGGGAAGAGGGACAGACCTCAGTTCTCTCCCCTGGGGACATATATACTCAAGTCCCAATCCCATCCCCTCTTCCTGCTAAGGCTCTCAGTGACGCTAGAGACTTAGGGCCAGGGGGTTCTAGTGTCCAACCTTGTAAGCCATGCAAGGAAAGAAGAAAGCTGTGTCAAGATTTCTCGATGACCCCAACTGAAGATCCATGCCTTCTTGTAGGTCATAGAGTAAGCCCTCCCCACACTGTGCAGGAGTGAGGCCTGGCCTGTGGATTCTTACCCCAGCATGGCTTCAGAGAGGCTTGGGGTGGGGTGTCCCTCAGACACCTGTCTGGTGATGTCTCCCAGTACAGCTGATAGCAGGAGGGACCCAAGGATTCCAGGGCAGGTGGGACTGCTGTGGGCACACTGCCAGGGGACTGCTAGAAAAAGTAAGAGACCCCCAGGTGTCAGTGATGGCTCCTGTTCAGCAGACCTGGGGTTCTAAGGCAGCCCTCTGCCTCTGGCTGTATCCTGTACCACTCAGGAGGGCAGCATTCACAGGGTAGACTATGAGGATGGGGCTTTTCTAAAGTGTGCAGTGTAGGAACCTGGAGCAGTCAGGAATTCTAGCTCAGGCTCACTGGGAATGGCAGAAGCAGTGAATTCTTGTCTCCCCAGTTCACAAACGCCCCTCTCTTCCTGGATACCTGTGCAAAGGTGGTCCCTGGGGAGGCACTCGGGAGAGTCAGATCCTGGGAAGCACCTACAAGGTGAGAGCAGATCCACTCAGAAGGAGTAATGGGTCTAGGGAGTGGGGAGTAGTGGGGAGTAGCTGGGAGGTCCTAGGAAAGCCAGCAACTTACGGCAGGGATGAGAGGAGAGGGATGCTATGACCCTAAACAGCCTCCTCTCTAAGGCAGAGCCTTGGGAAACGGGGGAAGAAGGACTAAATCTCAGAGATGGTAAACTGGGAACAGTGTAGGTCTGAAGAACAGAGACTGAATGCCAAGCATCTAACATGGCCTTGCACATGGAAGATACCAAGTAAATGTTTGGTGGATGGATGGATGGATGGATGGATGGATGGATGGATGGACGGATGGACGAGTGGGTGGATAGATGCATAGGTAAGTGCATGGATACATGCAAGGATTGGTGGGTAGGTGAGTGGATGGATGAAAGGACAGATGTGCAGAGAAATCACCTGAAATCTGCATCTCCCACTTGAGCTTCTCTTGTCGGCGCCATTTGGCTCTTCGGTTGGAAAACCAGACCTGAAGGAGGGCAGAGACAGTGGACCTGGCTGTGCTCCCCACTGCCTGGCCCCTACTGCTCTCATCACATGTTCCTGGTCTAGACCCAGAGCACAGCCCTGTCCTCAGACCTGACATCCTCCCTCCCTGCTCTGGCCTTTGTTCTCTGTCCTCTTCCTCACTTCAAAGGCTTGGAGTGGGGAGGAGAGGAGAGCAACTAGCAGAAGGAGAACAAGGAGGGTCTTGTGTCTGATTTCGGCTACACAGATCTGTTTCCACCTTCCAGCGCCCTTCTCCACCTCAGCAGAACTCAAAGCCTTCTCCATACAGACTCTGGATTCTTGTAGTTTGTGCCCCGTGTGTGGCAGAGCTCACTCACCCTCACCGTGTCCTCAGGCAGAGAGGTGGCAGCAGCCAGCTTCCCACGGGCCACCGAATCAGGATACTGGCCACGCTGGAACTCTGCAGAGATTGAGGCTTGCACAGTGAGGGCATGCAGAGAGGAACAAGGCCTGGGGTCTCCCCCCTCAGGCTCCTTGCACCGGCCACAATCCCACACTACCCTCCTCCCCAGGGCAGGGCCACCTACAGCCTCTGCTTCTCAGCCTTGCCCACAGGCCACAGGGCTTTGCCTCCATGGGTCACACCAAGCACCCTCTCACCCACTGTCTGCCCCAGCCCTGGCACCTTTCTCCAGCGCCTCGGCTTGGCCTGGGGAGAAGATAGTCCGATTCCGGTGGCCAGTCCCTGGGTGGGGACCCCGGGGAGTCTCAGAGCCACTATGGGGCGTGTGAGGAACTGGAGTTAAAACAGCTGTAAAGGCGGACAATGGCTTATGGTTGTTTGTGATAGTGATTCTTCTCTTCCCATGGGGTTCCCAAGCCCCTGGGGCTGTGGACAGGGGACAGTATGGGTATAAGAGCAGAGCCATGCTAGCAGAACATTCACAGCTCCTTGGAAGTTACTGCAGGGCACTTAGGGGGAGGAACACTCAATGCCATGGTTGGGTGCATGCTTGGTGTTTGGGGAAATAGCAGCAAGGTTGGTCCAGGTTGCATGATCCCACAGAACCTGAAGTGTGCTCTGAGAAGCTGTTCTCGAGGCAGAGGGAGGGCATGGAAGGTCCAGTCCTTCCTCTTCCTCAGTAGATCCTGTGAATCTGAGGGCCAAGGGGCCTGAGTCCTGTTCCAGGACCTGCCAACGACTTGGGTAAGTCACTTCCCTTCTCTGAGCTTCAATTTTCTTCTGCCAGGAGAGAACAATACTCCCTGCCGGGCCCTCCTTATTGTCTTTTTGTGAGGGTGATCCAGGAGAGAATAAAAAAAAAGGCTTTGCAAACTGTAATATTCTTACATTTGCTCGGATCATCCCTGGGGGCAGTGCCAAGACCCACCTGGAGACCTGAGCTGTGCCCAGGGCAGTCTCTGGTCCTCCTGTAGTGCCCGCAGGACTCGATTGATGGAGGAGACCTGGGGGTGTTGGCGTGTGTATTGAGTGGGGAGACGGTGCACAGACCCAGGGTTAGTTAGATCCTGAGGATATTTCCCCAATAACCTTTCTCTCCTCTCTCTAGGCCCACACATCATTCCCAGTGCAGCCTCCTCTCTTCCCATGCTTTCTTTTACTCTCTTGTCCCACGACCCCACTTTTCAAAAGAGAGCCCATCAGCCTTGCCTCCCCAGCCTGGGATGGTCTCATTGCCAAATAAGAAGGGGTCTTCTCCCCAGATGGCCAGGTTGCCAGCCCTGGTGCAGGCAGGGGAGAGCACTTACACTGGGAGTCTTGTCCTGGGTGCAGAGTCCTTCAGCACAGAGCTGGCGTTGGATCTCCCAAGCAAAGAGGGCAGGGCACTCACCCTTTAGCTGGGCAATTCGAGCCACCACAGGGGGTGTGGCCAGACGTGGCTTGCTTCCCCCAATCCCTTTGGGCTCCAAGACACCTGTGCGGTAGTAACGTGCTAGGATCTTGCTCACACAGCCATTAGATACCTGGGTCGGGTGAGAAGCAGGGACAGGTGATGGCATGATGGGCAGAGGGTGAGCGTCCCTGGGGCAGAAGGAGGCTACAAGGCAGTGAGACCTAATGCCCCAGGCTGCAGAGTTGAGAATTCAGTGACACCTTTGAGAGCCTAAAGATCCCTACCCTGGACCCCAAGAGGGTCTCCTAGGAAGTAGCCCAAGCCCCCAAAGCCCTCCAAGTCTGCAACAGCCTCACACTTGCCTTAGGAGGGTGCTTTGTCCCTGCTTCTTGACCCCATCACCAGGTAAACCATACTACCTTAAGGCTCCGTGAGATGTCACAGGGCCGCATCCCGCTGACTGCCAGCCGCACAATCTGCTGCCGGGTATCCAGGGGCAGGGGCCGGCCATTCACAAAAAGGCCCCCCAGCTGATTCACACTGCTGATCCCTGGGCATAAGAAGGAGGCATCCACACATCTCCCCTCTCCCCAGCGCACCTGTGGCATGGAGGACTCTCTTGGGGAGGGTTACTCAGGCTGCTCTAGTCTGGCTTCCCATCACAGAGAAAGTCCTCCCCTGAAACTCCCCAGCTCCCATTTTCTTTGGGAGATGGCTCATGGGTGAGCCTTTGCTTTGAGGCCACTTACACTGACCCCTGTGATCTAAGGGAAGCAAGGTGGAGCAGGAAGGAAATTACTGGATGAGGCTCCCCCAGAACACCAGCCAAGGGCACGGAAAGTGGTGGAGGGAAGCAGGGCCCTGAGGTATTTCCTCCCTCCTTACGCCAACCTGTTCTTCCCACTTCTCCCAGGTGTCTTACCATCCCGCGGCATGTTCCCGGCCAACCCTCTTCACAGAAGGGCAGGGACTGGGAAGACTAGAGAAAAGAATTCCTCCGAGGAGCTCCTTCTTTGGTCTTGGGGTTGGGTCTGCAATGATCGCAATTATTTGGGTGAAGTCTCTGGCTCATGGTGGTCTTGGGTTGTAGTGTTTTGTGATAGAGGGTCAGGTTTCTCAAATTTGCAAGCAGGTTGACTGAGAAAATTCAAATTCTCTCTACTTATACCCTTCAGTGATGAACTAACATATCACCAGTCCAGCAGAGGACTAGATCTTTCTGGATGTCCTATAAGGGTGGGAGAGAGGGTAGGAAGGCTCTCATTTCTCATACTTGCCATCATAAGGGGTCAGGGAAATAGAAAAGGATTATGCTTACAAATGTTCAGGCTTTCCCTTTTACAAGTCAGCGCCTGTTGTCTCTGACCCCTCAAAAGCCTTCTCAGCCCTGGGTGATATACTTGGGCCTCCTAAGTTCAGATTCAACTGGGTCAAAACCCAAAAATCTATAATATTCTGCCCAGCCAGAAGAGGGCATCAGTGACTAAAGATCCCATTTGCTCTGGTCTGAGGCTAGAGACTAGGTTCAAGACTGCCTTCACTATCAGGCAGCTCCCAAGCTTAATTTCTCCAAACCACCAACCACAGAGCTTTCCTCAGAGCACTTCATGGAAGGGTCTTGCTCCTGATTTTTTTTCTTTTATACTCTCCAGGAAGCTCTGAGGAAACATGGCGGCTCAGCTCCACCCCTGGGCATTGAGGCTCTGGTCCCACCCACTGGAAGTAAAGATGAACAAGCATGAAGTCCAGGTTTCTCTTGGAAGAAACATCTCTTGACATCTTCTAACCTGCTGGGGTTGTTGGTTCCTATTAACTCTGGAGAGTTCTAGATCTTGCAGTGAAGCAGCTTCACTCTCAGAGACCAATTTTCTGGGATCACTCATTGAACTAACACTTAGGAAAGACATGTTGAAGGAAGAGAGTGAGGGGCAGGAGTGAGCAGCATGCTGACGCACAATACCTTGTGAGCACAAGAGAGTCTGACCAGCAAAGGTTGCAGATCATGGGCCACCATGCCTTTCTTGCTTTTATCAGGGAGTAACAGGAGTAGAAACCACCTCCTTTCTCACCTGCAAACCTGGTAGGGCTAGAGGTCACCCCAGAAAATAGCTCATGCAGAGACCTTTCCTGTAATAACTATGCCATCTTGGCTCAGCTCACTAATCTGCAATTCTTTTCTGAATAAAGTAGTAACCATTAGTATATTGTTGGTTGTTCAGGATGAAGGGAGTGAAAAGAGAAGGAACAAGGTTTTTGCCCCCCAAGAGATTACAGAGCAGCCGGGAAGAGGAGACCAGCACAGGTGAAACAAAGAACCCACAGAGTATGGAATCTGGAGTTGCTTTTAACTCAGTGGCTGAATTCGCTTTTACTCACTCCTCCCCAAGGAGGTGGAGACATGTTCCCCCTTCAAGCTCTCATCTTTCCAGAAAGCCAGGATAGAAGGCAGAGATCTTTCCAAAAAGAAATCTGAGGCACAGATTGGGGTTCCCACAAATCAGGGGGCCACCCAGGGAGTAAAACTCAAGGAGGTTTAGAAGCCAGTCCCTCATTGGAAGCCAAAATTTCCAGCTTCTATTCCTGGGGCTGTTTCTCTGCCCCCTACCCCTGCTTCATGTTTGTGTAATTGCCACCAAAAGAGAAGAGAGTCAAGATGGAAATAGAAAGGGCTCTGCCAGGGCAGGGGATGTGAGCTCAGGATATCAGCCAAAACTTTGCTATGACTATGTCCCCTCTAAGTGACCAGAACTCAGAGGAGGAATGGGGACTTGGGTTCAACATCCAAACCTCAGTCAGGTCCAAATGTAAAATTCACAAACAGAAACTCCATTCCCAACAGCCACCCCACTCCTCCCCAACATTCATAACTTGTCTGATAAAAGAGCTGGTTCTCACAAGATGGGAAAGCAGGGTAGGGAGTTGGAGGGGCAGGAGGGTGCAAGGCTGCAAAGACAAAGGAGGGAAGTTGGTTTTGGCCACACAAAGACATGGAGACAGCATGGGAGGCAGAGCAGACAATGAGCCTGCAGGTGAGCTACCTGTGTGGAGGTAAGGAGGTGGGTGCTTCAGTAGGATGATCTCAGTCTCCTATGCTGGACTCCTGAGACCCCTGCAGGCTCCAGGGGTGATGGTGGTCTGGTCCTAGTAACAGCCTCCACTCTGCTCCTGCTTCAGTCCTGCCAGGGGGTCCAGAGCTACAGAGAGCCCGTGCTCAGAAGCAGAGGGCAGCCTTCTGGGAGCAGCCAGTGATGTCACAGGCCATGAGCAGAGGAGAGAGGAGGAGGGAGTTGTGCATGGGGCTGACTGACACTGGCCCTGAGGCAGAGCAAACCACAGCCAACAACCCATTCTGTCCTTCCATGGGAAGTCCTCAGAGCCCACCTGGTGTTTACCTGCCACCCTCAAGCGCACCCACTCAAGGGCCAGAACTCCTGAAGGGATTGGGGAATATAGAAGATGGGGGAATTTCAGACTGTATCCTCAATGTTTTGAATGCACAGAAGCCAAGGGTGACATCTAGAACCACAGACAGCTTTCCAGCCAGAATGCACATGCCAGAGTTTGGGGGTCAATTCCTGGGTCTTGTGTATATTACTATAAAAGATAATTGGTTATATAGACTGATATCTAATATTGGCCAAGTTAGCTCCTAAATCTCTGAGAGAATGATGGTACATGTAGAAAAGCATGTGTCACATAGCACCAGCTCTCTCCACAGAGCATCTTCACCAATACTCCAGTTGACTCCTTGACTGAGGTGCCACCAAGGATGAATTTTAGAAATAGGGGCACCTTGGACTATAGAACCCTGGCAATAGTGGTGATGGCAATGAACCTCTAGGGTAGTTAGGATGCAGATGGGGTGTTTATGAGGAGGTGTGCAACTTGGTTTTCTTCTTCCATCTCTAGATATTATCAGGCTCCATTCCACTAATGATTTGGTGCTTTTAAACTCCATGTCATGAATGATGCTCCTGTGCCCACAGAGGACACCACAAGTTATATGGATCATTGTTGGGGTGGGGTAAACCAGGAGCTGGCTAGGTGATTCTTGTGGAGTGGGGTGCTTGGAAGTGAAACATAGCTCTAGTGATGGAAGCTTTGTTGCCACCATGGTCTTGTGCAGATCCTTTATGAATAATCCAACATGGAAAGTCCTTTGGGTCCATTCCATACCTTGGATTCTGTGAAACCCTCTCAGAAGTCAAGCTGAAAGTAAGCAGGGTGTAGAGCAATAAAGCTAGACCCAGAGAGTGGAAAAATGGATTTCACGTTGGGGGGGGGAGATTAGGTGTGGATGTTGTATATTCAGCTTGATCCTAAGGTAGAGAACGCTTGTTCTCAAAGCAGGGCCAAATGTATCATAGAAATGGGTGTTCTATATGACCTCTCCTCTTGCAGCCCCCTCCAGCCTCCTCAGGCTGGCCTAGAGCCCTGGGCCACAAGGGGAAACTGTAGCAGTTGGCTTCAGCACCATGGGCAGGGTGGCACATACACTAGTACCTATGGAGCCCATTTAATCCCTGGGCATCTGGAACTGCTGCTCACTCTACTCAGCCATGCCTGGGTGACAGAGGGTCTCATGTAAGTCCCATGGAAGCCCTGCTCTTAGTCCTCCTTTCCTGCCTCAGCCCTTCCCCCTCACATCTGCCCCTGTGTCTGGGGGCACAAGGCTCTGTGTCCTGACCTGCTATTCCCATAGACAGCTGCATGAGGGGTGGGGATAGGGGTGTCAGGGGGAAAGGGGACAAGCCCTGGCAGATGGTGGTGGCAGCGATTTCCCCCATAAACTACCCTCTCCCCCCCCCGCCTTTACAACGGGATCTTGGGTCTGAACAAACAGAGGCTTTCGACCTAGAGTTGATGGAGGGAGGGAGAAGAGAGGAAGGGCCCTGGCAGGGGGGCCTAGCCAGCCCAAAGGCTCAGCCACTCAGCCCTCTGCCCAGCGCACCAGACTGTTTGAGAAGCAAATATCTGCCCTCACTGTCTGACTCTCTCAACCTCCCTCACCAGGTTTGGGGCTAATTGTCCCTCATTAGCTGGGCCCAGGCTGCCACCAGCCCCCGCCATCTGCTCGAAATTATACATTAACTCTGAGGTCTTGCCACCCGCCAGCCAGACTGCGCGCCCCTCTCCAGGCGGCCCATGGCCATTCTAGTCTGTCGCTCGTCCTGATGTAAAGCCCTAACTGCTGGCTTCTTCTGCCCTCGGGACCTCCTAGAATAAAGCCTGGTGGCTGTGGAAAAGATCTGTCCTCAGGGGAGGGGGCAGGAATTCCCCTGACCTCCTCACAGGGCCAGAAGACAAGACAGGCCCGTGCGCAAAGCTGGAGAGGGCACGGGCAGCCAGTGCAGAGACCCAGCGGTGACGGCGGCTTTGGTCTGACACCTCAGCCAGGGTTTCTGGCACTCACTGGGGAAGGTAACACCAGTTCCAGGCTGTTTCCACCCCCTCCCTGTGGCAGCTGTTAGTTGGCTGTGGGGTCCTGTCTCCCATCTTCCCTCTCTTCAGCAAGAACCTTCTCTGGCCAGCCCTCAGCTTTCCAGAGCGCACTGCGCTGCGCCACCTCTCCAACGCCACTCTCTGGCAAATGCGTCTCCGTTTACTGTCAGAGCAGTTTCCTTGCTACGAAAGCACGGGGAATCTTCAAGGTCCCTGGCTATTCCTAAGCTGGATGTGGAAGTTGCAACCCCTCCCCACCCCCAAAGCTTTAGGTAGTTATCCTGCTCTGTCTACCCAGACCAAGCTTTAACACCTGCAAATCCTGCACTTTCCATTGTGTTTCTAGAAGGCCGGCTACCTGGCTCCCTCCCTCTGAATGCGCCAGGGAAGCAGTAACAACCTGTCCTCCCAACTGTGGCTTTGAACTGGGGCACCGAAAATGCCTCCTTTCCTCCTCTTTTTTTCCAAGAGCCCCTAGCTTCTGAGCTCAACT